TATAATGATCAGTTGTTGTTTAATTATATTTTTCTGACTTTATTCATTGGGGTCTATAAATTTTGTGGTATTAAAATAACAGAAGAGTAAGATACATTCCAGGAATACCCTAAGGGCATGAGGACTGGAGTCAGAGTTCTAAAAGAAGAAGTTGGGGGTAACACTATACAGTCTTACTAAGGGCTCTACGAGATAGAAAAAATCCCCTGGTCTAAACGAAAGAATAAAAAAGGAGGAGCAGCAAAAAGATAAAATTAAACCCTGAATTTCCTTCAAATCCATTGAAATTAATAATGTTATTTTTGAAAATTAAATCATTCAATTGTTTTGATTAAATAGCTGCTAACATACCATAGATTGTTGAATAAATACTTGTGGAAATAAAATCAGATTAGATTATACTAAGGGACCTAAGTCCGCTCTAAAAGATAGCGCGTGAAGCGTCTGCGTAGAGAGATAGAAGACCTAAGTCCGCTTTGAAAGCGCTTTTCGCAGCTCAGCGAAAGAGAATCTACCAAACCCAGACCATCTCAGTACCTTTTAGAAAGTCATTACGAAACTACTTCTCATTCTACATTCTACATATGTTACGATGGCCTTCACTAACAAGGACGAAGTCACGCCAACCGGTGTCAGAAGACTTCACAGGATGAAGGACGTTAAGACAAAATGTTGACAACAATGTATGTGAAATTAAGTTTTGGCTCGCCTTGTAAAATTTTTACGCTCCCGTGTCATTCACTAGTTTATAGAAACGACAGAAAATTGATGTAAGTCAAACGAGATTTCTGTTCCAATCAAAAAAGATTTTACTAGCGAAAGCAACAAAAAAAGATTTTTTTTAGAAAAGCGACAAATTTTAAAAGACTTCCAGATTTTTTAAATCCCTCATAAAAATTAAAAAGACAAAAAATAGTAAAATGTTGTTAACTAAAGCAAAATTTCAAATCTGGTATAATGAAAAAGAAATTTAATAATATAGTTTTTAAAATTACATTTTATTCATTACAAATGACATTTTGTAAATAAAATACATAATTTTGATTCTCGAATCTTGGGATTCATTTTTTCAAAGTAATTTGACAAAAACATTTGAGTAACAATTCAAATATTTTATATTTTTCTAAAACCGTTTTAAATAAGAGTATAACTAGACATATGCAATGAATGGAACACTAAATAATTGGCTCTGTTTTTCAAGAACGCTTTTTTTATACTTTAATCAATCAATCAAAAAATCCTTTCTTCAATTCAAAGAGTTTGAAGATTTTTTAAGTTTCGGAAGAATCGAAACTTAAAAAAAGCGCAAAAATCGAATTTTAGAATTTTTAATCTTTTTTAGAAGTTTGTGATATTTAAAGATTTCAATATACTATTTCTAGATTTTTTTATTGCTTTTGTATTAATTGCTATATTGTCCTGGTAATACGATTAAGCACTATCTTGAAGACATATTATTTGAAATTAAACAATAAGATAAATAAACTGTTTGCTTATATCAAGTTAACTTGAATGAGTCAAACGATAGTACAGTCAAAGATTATACTATATCTTAATTAACTGATTGTATAATCCTGCTTAAATTAGTACAATGTTTATCTTAAATAATATAATCATGTTTAAATCTTCAAAAATCTTGTTTAAGTTCTATCAATTAACTGATAAACGACGTTTGTTATTCAACCTTTGCTGATAGAGTTTCTGGATAGTCGTTTGGATAAAGACCAGCCAGTTCCCAGTCCTTATCATTAGAATCACGTTTCAGTAAATCTGAGGATTTTTATAAAATTCTTCTATCAGAAACTAAAGCTAAAGGAATCGGTGATCCAAATTGACTCAATGAGCTGTTCTGTAGATTTTATTACTTCCTCTTCGAAATGCATTAATAGGCAAAATTAAGCAACTTAAAATCGAAACGATATAACTTAAACGTTTCGAAAAGAAATGAACAGGGACAAAAATTCTAGACGATGATGACAAATTACAGTATCAACAAGATCTATTGGCTTCGTGAAAGAGTTTCGGAAGAAAGATTGTTTGTGTATATGGAAAAACGTTAAAATTTCTATGTAGCTAGTTCTTTTAAAAAGTTCGAATATTTTTTTTTTAGAAAACTGGGATATATTTTTTCGGAAGTTACAAAAATTGGGATGTATTCCCCCCCCCATATAGGGATAGGGATAGATTATTTGAATTAAAGCAAAGTAGATGAGCCTGTCTGCATTTGCTTTCTAATTTTGATACAGAGAGAGCCAAGAGCAAAGCGAGAAACATTAAACAAAAAATAAAACATACTTGATAGCATTTCCAAACATTAAGGCTTGAAATTTAATTTCTGTTGGACAGCATCCGTATTAATGTATAGTACACCTTCTATTGGTGAAAAATTCCAAAGAAAAGGGCCTTTGAAAGTAACCATTATTTCCGAGAACATAAATAAACATTTCTTCTCTAAACTAGCCATCTCTAAAAAAATTAAAATCCTCTAGAACCATGGGTGGTCGTCTTAGTAATGGTTCACTGTGATATTGATCATTATTACAAAGACAATGAAGTTAAACGAAATTTACTCGAATTCATCATGCTGGCATCTCAGGTGGTTTCTAAGGTTTTGAGATTAAGATCCGAAAAACAGAAGAAAAAAAAAAAAAAAAACCTTACTGACGAAAACATTAAATTTAGGAAAAAAACCTACCCTAACTTGGTGTACATTTTGAATAAACACATCTATCGATTTCGAGAACGACATCTTTCCCATCCTTGAAACAAAAGTGTTTAATTGAAAAAGAGAAACTGGTGTTTAATCGTCATGATATCAATAGTTTTATTCAAAAATCTAAGCTAGGCCAAGGTCGTTCTTTTGGCTATGTTTCAATTCGAAAGCAAGTTTTAGTTGATACTTTGAAAAATACTTCGAAAATCAGTCACCAAATAATGACTTCTTATTTAACGAATATCAGAAAGAAAATATTTTCACTTCCAATGAAGGACGGTATTGATTACATATTCGGAGCGTAGTATAAGAATGATTTAAGAATATCAATTTATTACAATGTTTATGTCAAAGCAGCAATAAATTGGATGTAATCATCCAATTACGCCAAAGAACACAAGGACTACATCTTATGCATTTTATCCGGTACAGATTGTGAGGGTGAAGTTAACCCACCTGCTCTAATTTTCAGCTACTATAGGATTTTCAAATCGACAGATTTTTCAAGTTCAGTAAACAGCATGTTTAGCTTTTTGCACAGTGGCTCAGAGTAAAAGTACATATAAATTCAAAAACAGTAAAGCAAAACCTTTTTGCACAAAGTTTGAAAAAATTAAAAATAAACGAACAATGAAAAATAACTCAAACTGGATATAATTATTGTTGTAATTAATTTGAATTATTGAAATCAAATTCAGTTTATATTGGTAAGTTTTTAAGTGCTATAACAGATTTTAATCTGTTCGACATTGAAAGGACAAGGAATAATTAAAAATGATTTTGACCATTCTTCTTTAAATGTCTTTTGAAATGGATATGCCGCGTTTTTAAATTTTTTTTCCTCTGTCCCTGTAAATTTTCAATTACATTTATGTCTTGAGATCTATAATATGTGGGCAATTATAAATCAATTGCAGTCTAACATTTAAGGATTGATAAAAATGAAAAAAATTGTCTATACCCAGTTTTAAAGCATTCTATTTCATAAATTCTAAATATTTATTTTGATTCAACATTCCATCAACAATATGAAGGTTACCTAGTCCAGCAATTCCATATCATTACCAGTCTACCACCGAACTTAAATGTAGGTATTATATTTTCCTTCTTCATATTCTTCATCTGGCTAAACATACGTTTGCCCATCCGAACAAAAGATAAAATTTGCATTCGTCTCTTACTAAAATTGTTCCTCAAAATGATACGCCTTTATTTTTATGAAGTTTTTGCTAATTTAAATCTTTCAAATGATTCATCTTACCAACGAAGTGGTTTTTCCTAGCAATTCATCCAATGAAATTACTTTTTCTTAAAATAATTCTTATTGTTTCTGAATTAGCTCTTTTCTCAAAATGCTTTCCTGCTACCATGATCACTTTACAGGTCACAATTCTGGGTTTTTCTTTACTTCTCGTCCTCTCCAACGTTTTTCTAAATCAAATAAAAATCTTTCGTTTGCTGGATATAGTTTATTTTCAATAGTATGTCTTATCTTAAAATGCTCTATTATGACATGTACTCTTGAATGACTTCGTTTTATTATTTTTGCAATATCTTTTATGGACAACTTTGCTTTATTATAAGCTCGCGAATAACCAAAGATATGTTCGTCCAGATTGCCTTCCCGTACTTAATAATCAAAAAGAAAAATTGCAAGTAAAGAGCAAATTAAATGAATATTTGAATATCAACAAGAGGCAGTTCATGAAAAATTTTGAAATATTTGCATTTTAAATAAGAAAAATCACAAAATTACAAGCTGTCCAACTTTTACCTTGAAACGAGTTTTCACACTTTATTCATTTATTTTTTTTTAATTGATAGCGACTAAATTTCCATTTTATTTGTGATAATTAAATATGTGCTCGAAAATTGTTTTATAAAGGCTATTTTACATTTTATTTAAATTATTTCTTATGCAGAAAACTGCTCCATGAAATGTAAATGGCCGATTTTTACTTTGAGATACTGTAGCTGTAGCAGTTTATGTGTATCAAAAAATTGCTCTCCTGAAAAAATTCCAACCGAAATGTTAAAATTATTGTCATATTGGCCTTTGGCAATAGTAAACAGAGTATAGTTTCTTACCGCTGACAGTCACTGATCTGAAAGCTAAGAATTTGACAGATAACTGTTAGTGATGTTAGTATTAATAATTCTGTATTAATTATTGAGTTACGAATATTTAAGGAGCTTAAATAATTCTAATTTGATTCTTAAATTAATTTTTGTTAATTCATTTTATTTCTACCTGAAGAAAATCAGGAAGATATAACTGTGTACTTACCTTTAGGAATGTATAGAGTGGATGTTCGTTTTTACCATTCACATCTATCTTCTGAGTCAGAGTGAAATTCGGTATAAACCCATTTCCAGGCCTCACGTATTGTACCCCGTTCCATATTTCTTCACCGTTTCCGCCAGGTTCTTGCTGAAAAATCAAAACACTCTTTTTATTGTTGGAAAATATAACTAATCAAAATGCTGTTTGATCATTACCGTTTCAAAAACGCAAGTTCATTAATTGTTTCTAACTGAAACAATGTCAAACTAACTAGAAAATCTTCCTAGATTTTATTTTAATAATAAAGTATGTTTGAGTAATGTTTCTTAATTTTAGGTCAAAGTAACATAAGGTTTCCTTCTGAATTCAAACGACATACTTCCGTAGCGCATTGTTTGACTATCATTCGTAAAATAGTAATCCCTGTTACCCAAGCTTTACGTTTTTACACAACGAATACTGTGTTTGCCCGGAGAATGTTATATGTAGCTCGGTATCTGAACATGCTCAAAAATACTGAACTCACTTTATCTCAGAGTGAAATTATTATTAATTTCTACGAATACTGATTACGTACTCAAATGGACTATTCGCAAAAACACTTTATTTTATTACCCGTAGCAGTTAATTTAAGAATTAATTCCTAAATTTTTGACAATTACCTGTTAAAAATAGATGCTGCAACAAAGGATCTTATCTAAAATTAATTTTTACAATATCTGAGTACTTTACAAAAAGAATATAAATAAATTTTTCTTCTGAGTTTACACAAAGGGTATTTAAACAATGAAAGTAATCTGACAAGCAAAAAGACAAAATTTCATTTAAGACTTCAATTACTGGAGATGAAATGTTAGATATTCTTTACTCTATTTTAATACATTAATAGATAATATTATTTCTATTATTTAATAAAATAACAGAACTGATATTTAATAAAATAATAGAACTAAGCCTTATAAAGAACATAAATAATCACGTAAAGTAATAAAAATTATGAAAAAATTCGGATTTTTAAGAAATCCATATCATTTAATAGCATTTATATCTTAATAATAAAGGTTCTCAGCCTCTTAAAGCAATTGAAATTTTATTTAAAACATCAAATGATATTTGACTTCATTAGGTCAGTGACATCAATTCTTTAGATTGTCTACAAGCTTTAAAAAATATTTCAAATTCAAAAGGGGAGTGGAAAACGATTTAACTATGAATCTGCAAGAGAAAGATAAAAAGTCGAACTCGAAATTTTGAGTAACTTCTGAACTTGCACATCACACATTATGCTATCGATAAAATAAAAGAGCTAAACAAGTTGCTTAGGAAGATAACTCCTTTTCAATCAATACTGTAATCAACAGAGATTGTTGAAGTATTCGTTGTTGACTGAAACACTCGATTTGATCATTATTGAGTCTGATATCACTGTTTTACGAAGAAAAATCCTTTATATGCGTGTATTTTACCCGTGAAAGCTATTACTGAAAACAAGGCATCTATACAAGCATGGAATTTTATGCATGCCAGTAATCGGAAACGGTGCGATTTCTTTCAAACAGTAATTTCAAGCTTTTTCAGCATGACTGTCCGAATCATTGCTGAAAACGTGATTTGATGGCCTTCGAGTTCATTAAGAGCTGAACAGGAAAACAACTTAATTATAGTATCAGTTTGATACGTTTGTGCCTGATTTATCTGGATATAAAAATCTTTGCTGAAAAACGTGACATGTCGATTTGCAGTATTAATCACTATAAGTCGCTTCTGCGTAATTTATTCGGTTGTCCAAATCTTTTCTAAAAACGTGATATGATGTTTTACAGTCTTATTAACAGCTGAACCGCGTCTGCTTGATTTAATACTTTATTAGGATCTATTTTTGCTGTGAACGTGATTTGATATTTTACACTCATTAGCAGATGAATACCATAACCATCCTTTGAACCACGGATTCTCAACCTTTTTCTTGAATTGACTCGTTTTAAAAGAAAGGTTTTCTTCATCGATCCACTTACATTATTCTCTGTCATATACAGCATACAATAAAATAATACAGATAACTGCACACAAATAGCTTAGGAATTAGACTAAGGATATGTATGAAAGCTTTGAAAAAAAAGGGTTTATTAGATTTTTTAATATTTTTGTATTAATATTATTTTTAATTTTAGAAATATAAACAAGTTTTTAGAAACAAGATTGCAGATTCTAATTGTATAAAAGTTAGATTTTAATTATTATGATGATTGCGCTTGATGTACCAATGCAAATTTCCTAAATTTTTGGTATCAAAATATTGAACCCGTTTCTTGTTTTCAGTAGTAAATTTATGGCTTGACTAAAGGTCTTGATTTCTACTCAGTAGAAAAGGGAAAAGTAAACAATGTTGGCTCGGCAACAACTTTTATATTTTTATTTTATTATTTTTTTATTTTCTCTCGGATGACTTTTAAATTTCAAAACTTAGCATGCACATGTGTTTTGAAATAGACTTGGGCTTGAACATTCTCCTTAAATGCAATCAACTCTTGTTGCTTTATAATATCAAATATATTGCAGTCTAGCGATTCTATAAGCCATGCTGGCACATTCAAATTTTCAATGTCAACATCAAAATCCTCTTTCAAATTTTGCAAGCGGCTTGTAAATAACAATATATCTTCGCTTGTAAGTAATATGTTTTTTGAGAAAGTGTGGGTTTCTTCTTTTTCCCTTTTGTGTTATTGCGTTTTCCATTTTTATATTGCACTTTTTGCATGAACAATTTACATATTTAAAAATAAATAATTTTTATGTATTTTCCCTCTATGTTTATTTTATACCATTTCTGTTTTAGTATATGATATAGCTATCTTAAATTCCCTCTAAATGAGCTATCAATGATCATATCAATAAACAATTATCAAGTTTACAATATTAATAATTGTTTGTAAACAATGGGATCTTCATTATACCAAATTCCCGTGCCTATTCAGCTATCGATCGAGGCCCAGTCGACCTCTTGATCATAACTGACCCCTTTAAAACTTTATCGACCTCCGACCCCTACTTTAAATCTTGAAGTAATTTCTTATTTCCTTGGGTATGTTGGAATATTTATGAGCAAGGCCAGTGGCTTATTTCGTGCAATAAAGCTTGGTGGTGAATTATTAATTAAAGCAGAGAAGTTAAGAGTCTAATTTCTGTGTCTGTTTATTTCAAATAGTTCTTAATAATAATAATAATAAAAAAAAAACTAGTTCTGAAACTACTAGTTCTATTCTTACCGCGCAAGAATAGAAGACTTCTGTTGCATGTCTGCTGTCTTCTGCTGAAGTTAATCTACTGTATGTTTTGGTATATTCATAACAGTCTTTTTAATTAATTGCAGACGTATTCAGGATATTTCAGCATAATAGGTAAATATGTTGATAGCTTATAACAGAGCAGAAATTTCAAGTCAATAATTCACAGCAATTTTCACAATGAAATTGCAAATAGAAGGTCTACCGGAAAATTCTATTCGATTATGTTATTTCAAAACATCTGCTCTTCTAATTAGCTGAAACAAAGGCGTCTCATTCATTATTAAGTGAGACGCGATCGTGTAAACATGGCTACTGAAAACGTTCGTTTACGACACGGTATTTTGTACGAATTCCAACGTGGATGAAATGCTAAAGAAGCGTGTCGGAATTCAGTTACAGTTTTACATGGAGATGCAGTTTCGGATAGAACAGGTTCGAAAATTTGATGGAGATGCAGGAGATGGTTCGAAAAATTTGAAGCAGGTTATTTCGGCCTTAATGATAAACCACGCTTGGGGTGGCTATCTTTGACCGATAACGATGTTAGAAATGATGATGATGATAGAGAAAGATACTTTTTTTTGACAATAACGGAGATTGCAAAAAATCTCAACTCAGCTCAACAAACCATTCTGGACTATATCAGGAAACTAGGATTGGCTTATATATTTTCCAGATGGGTGCCTCGTGAGTTAAGTGAGAAAAAGTTGCATGATCGAATCCTCATATGCACATCTCTGCTTCTTCAGAAAAAACGAACCCGTTTTGGACTAGATGATAACTGGCAATGAAAACTGGATTAACAACAAAAGTATAGTTAAGACTGTATGCCAGGATAACCTGTCCAATACACATTTAGATCGAATTTGAACCTGAATAAGAGAATGCTGTGCATACGGTGGGACGTCCAAGGACCAATTTATTGTAAGCTTTCGAAACTTAAAGAAAAGCTCACTTCGAAATGATTTTGTCATCTAATGGGCTGTTTAAATAAAATAGTCAAAGAAAAGTGTCCGGCGATTTTCAAGAGGAAGCACATCAAACTGCATCATAATAATACCAAACCACATACTGCTTTAATGACTTGTCAAGAAAATCTCAAAGCCAGGCTGGGAAATTCAGCCGCATTCACCATACTCTTCAGATCTAGCATTATCCAATTATCATTTGTTTCTCTCCTTGCAAAACGTTTTGAAGGGAAAAATATTCAAAATTCAAGTAAATGTCAGCCAAGCCCTACTTAAGTTCGAATTTTTCGAAAAAGGTATCCACAGATTACCATCCCTCTGGTAAGAGGTCATGAGCAACGATAGAAATTATGTTGTAGAATAAATATCATTAAAGGTACGAAAAATGTATTATTTTCTTTCCTTTCCCAAATGAACAGAATTTTCCGGTAGACCAAGTTAATCCGGATATTTGTTTTGTATCTCCGTAGAATGTGAAAGTGACGATTTTTTTCCTTTCTTCGAGTTTTACTTTCTTTTCTCTTGAAGTTTTCTCCACGTGCAAGATTGATGTATCAAAAATCTTTCGCAGTTGTTGGCCTTGGTAACTGCCCTTGCAGGTGCAAAATTTCTTGTAACTGACCTTTCTTGTAAACTGACCCTACCGTGCTGCAGGAAAGCCTCACTAACACTTTGCCTATCGCTTAATTTGAGTATAGATTGTGTATAACAAAAATTATGTTTATGTTTATCGAATGCAAATTTGTGATCTTATAATAATAAAATGTACATATCAGTATCCATTTTATGCTGTCAAAATTTAGCTTTTCTGGTTTAAAATAAAACAAGCTGGATACTCAAAATTTTGTAAATATAAATATTATCTCACGCTCATAATAGTCAAATACAGACAAATGTCATGCAGCTAGAAATTTATTTTTAACTCTTTGCCCAAGGAGCCTTCTCAAAGCTGACCTGTGAGCAATTCAACAATCCCTTGTGATTTACGAAATTGTGGAAAATAAATTATCAAAAATTGTAAAACATGGTGCAGGTCTTCAACATTAAACTGAGTTCAGATCTGAATTTTGACTTGTTTTTTCAAGCTATACAGTATCCTACGGAGAATATAAACGAAGCTAATTTGTATATGTAAACGTTCCTTAATTCTTTTCTTTTAGCATGGAGACTGCAGAGTAAATGTATGAATTTAGTGCGTTTTCTTGCGACCAGCGTAAGTGGCTGGTATTTTATGTAATATTGGTGTGTGGTTTGATTTTCGATGACGTTTTAGGCAAAAACTTAAAAGAAACATGTATTTTTCTCGTGTTGGCGTAAGTTTATCTTGTGTAATCACCAATACATTTAATGTTTTATGAGAAGCATCCGAATGGCATGCTAGATTTACGATGTTCCCTTAGCGGCGACAACCGAGTGCAAAAAATTAAAACGCGATAAGATAAAAGCCAATTAAACTTTAATTAGTATGACCAAAACATACGAGTTATTCTTCAACAAGCACATTCCGAAAAATTTAATCAATTATTCAAATAATTTATAATATATTCAATATTTTGATCATATTATGATGTAGTTGCTAAAGTACGCATGGTTTTTCTCGGGTGTACAAAAATGCCATTAAATAAAATGGGATACTGGGATCTCCGAGACGTATCAGTATTAGGTCACTGATAGATAAGATGCTAATAAATAAATTAGCCGAGAAAGACAGTTTTGAATTAATTACACCGAGTTGGTATGTTTTTACATTGTTATAATAAACTGCCGAACTTTATCGCACACGTTCACGAGAATATACTTTAATTAAAGATACTCGAAACCAATTACGTCTGGATTGATTTCGATTAATTCTACGGCTAAATGCTAGGGCGTTTTTACCCAGGGAAAGGTAAACCTTCATAGCTGACATTTGAATTGAATTATGTTAATTATCTCCGAGAGCATGAAATCTGCCTCGCTGCATGTTAAGGATTTTCTTAGATCTCTAATTTATAATTCGTATATCAAGATAATTATGAACAGTAAGAGAGTTAATTCTTCAAAAATAAGGCTTGGAGGTGGGGAGAAAAACAGTTATGATATTTAACAATTTTATATGTTCAGTAAGTGATACATAGGCCTCACCTGTAGCCGAGTGGTTAAAATCGCTAAATGCTGGTAGTTCGGTTCTGGGTTCGAAACCAGGCGGACGGGCTAAATGCATGAGTGTCTTTCGTTCTCATGCATAACGCGAATATGAGCCATTTTTCCTTTAAAAAGTCCTCGGTGAAGACATATTTTGCCTTGGACAGCTCGCTTTTCGTGTGCTTTGCCGCATTCCAATAATCTAACTGACACATACTCTTGGCTTTATATATTTTTGTCTCAAGCAATACATTGAATTTGGATGAGAAAATTCTCTCATTCCATAATTACTTGTTTAAAAGGACATTATTTAAATGAATTAATGCTTGCAACAAAAATAAATTTATATTTCTTTAAAAATTTTACATACAGAATGTGTAAGATGGCACCGTTTTAAAAATATTGGGTTTTCGATAAAAAAACAAATATCTACAGAACGAGTCACTCACATTCAAGAATGGCGAAAGCACACATCTGCAAGTTTCAGAAGGAGAAATTCCCTCGTAGTGCTTTTAATAAGGCAAACTGGCTCGCTTTCAATTCGTAGATCAGCAGTTGCGGAACCATGCATCAATTTCAGAACCACGCAAACCACATCCAATGAGTATATTCAGCTGTTAGGACAGCGACTAGATTTTTTAATTATGTCAAAGCACACTAGGCTATTTGCCCAAGAGTAGGAATACCTTCGTGGAAGACTTTCTAAAGGAAAACGGTTAGTGTTCCTGTTATAGAAGGCGGAAAATCACAGAAAAGCCCATACAGGCAGCACGCTTGCCAGCACCTGAATACTGGTCAAACTACTATTTCAATGGTCTTATCTATTAGGCCTCTTTGCCCGCCCCGGGGAGCCAAACGTGACATAAACCTTTAGTTTTGTTTTTATTTATGTTACTACTGGACCTCGTGTTTATAGCCATTGACTGCATTCTCTGGAACACAGTTTCATAATATAGAACTACCAATAAAAACATCAACTAATATCTGTACATTTTATCAATATTTACTTTTTATTTGTAGCTAATTATTTCTGACTCTATCAGCATCTTAAATAAAACGTGAAATTAAAATGACATAGTGTCATGAAAGTTCAAATTGAAAACAAAGAAAACCAAAATTTTAAACTATAATGAAGCAACTCAACTTACCTTACCAAACTGGTTACAGGGCAAACCCAGAATCTCAAACCCAGATTCATTAAAAGTTGATTTCAGTGCATTCAATTGATGATAGTGCCAAGTGAAACCTCAGTAGGTTGCGACATTGACAATAAGAAGGACTTTGTCTCTATACTCACTCAAACTAATATTCCTTGTCTCCATCAAATCTGGGACAGTGAAATTGTACACTGTCGTATCAGAATTTATTGGACGAAAGCATGTACGACTGGAGACTTTCGCGGAGATGACTGGGGATCCCAGAAGAATCCCACATGTCAAAAGGGAACAGGCTAACTCTTGCCACCCCATGGCAGCAAAGCGGTCTTCTGAACTACAAAATTGTATTCAGAAGTCTTCAACGAGCAGTCAGACCCCAATAACACGCTTTGGGAAGACCGGCAACTTTTATGATGAAGGAAGGGTTGCCATAATATTTTTCTTATCCTTTGGCGAGTGCGTGGCGAACTTTTTTTTTTAATCTCAGTTATGTTCCGTTTTCGTTAGATAATAAGGAGGAACATAAATAACAACTAAGGTCATTCCTTTAAAAAAACGAAGTGAAATTTTTTTTTTATTTCAGATTAATTTTATGCATTAAAACAGTTTCTTACAACTCTCTTATAAATACTTATCAATTATTTAGCTTGTTAAAAACGAAAGCGGCAAATTAATAGAAGTCTAATGGCTTTAAACACTTTTTTAATTTCTTTTTTTTTTGGGGGGGGGAGACTTCTCAAAGACCATTTCATATTTTTTTTCATGACTTTTTCGGTATGAATTACAAATCTTACTTTGCGCGATGCAACTCTGCAAATTGTCAATTTTCTTTTCCTATCGTTAAATATAAATATGCTATAAAAATAGTTTCAGTAAAAAAAAAAAAAAAGAAAAAAAGAAAAAAAAAAAAAAAAAAAAAAAAAAAAAAAAAAAAAAAAAAAGAAAGATTCAGATACATAATTTTGTACTATGTTCATTGGTTCGAATACTCTTGCCTTATAGTTCTTATTGACCAACTAAAGTATAAATTTACAAATTACTTTATTTACAACTTATTATGGTAATCTTGTTTTCTACTCAAAGATATTTTTAACATTTGAAATGTCATTTTAAATGTATTGCCAAATTTTTCTATTCTGTTCAAGCCTGATTAATTTCCTGTTGAATTATTTTCTAGTGAATCTAAAATAAAACATCACATTCATAAGATTTTTAATTTAACTTCCACGCAGATTGGCGATTAGAATATCTGTTTTGGCTTATCTTACGAATAGAATAGAACAGAAGCAAACAACATATGAACTTCTTGAAAATTTGTATTTTTCTGTTGCCTTTAAATAATACATGTAACTGATGTCATTTACAGCACAATTACTACAAATTATTTGTTAATTATACACATTTTCAGCATTATTGTTTGCAGTTGGCAGAAGGTAGTATTCCAGATGTTGTATATTACATACCAGAATACAAAACTGTGCCCAACAATGGGTTTTAAATGAATTACTCTTACAGTAAGAAGATAAGCTTAGCTAAAAATTGTTCTTGTTTTAGAAGACAAATGGATCTCATAATACGAGTAAGATCGTAAGAACTGATTATGGGTAATGCTCCTATAAAAGAAGAGGAAGGAAAAGAAAGAAAAATGAATGGTGGACATTCTTGGATTGATCAACTCTTATTGACTACTGTATATATTTATATGTAAAAATATGTCAAAAACAAATTGAAAAAGTTATTCATTTTGTTAAATAGTTTCTATGTACAGGGTGATTATAATTAAAGTTTAAGTTTCAAAACGCTATAAAAAAAGAACCACTCATGAAAATGACGTCAAATTTGAAAGGAATGTTATTGAAGAAGGCGGAAAGCGTATGGCAGAAGAAAAAATTTAGTTTCAAAAGTTAGCAACAGATGGCGCTGCAAGCGGAAGAAGACGTAAATTAAAATGTTAGTTAAGTTTTAGTGTTATAAAGCTGCCAGGTACCAGGCTGTTCCTCATTTCACTCTAGCTAGTAGCTCTGCAAAAATTCAGAACACTGAAGGGTATAAAAGAAGGCGTTGGTCCAATGAGTGTCGTAGGTCTAAAGAAAATGATGCAAAAATTCGAAACGACAGGTTCGTTTGATGTGCAATCTGGTAGAGCGAGAAAACGAGTCCATTCGACGGTAGTCGAAGAAGTGGCCACAGCATTACAGGAGGGGTCGGCCGGTGGTGTGCAACCGTGCAGTGCACGAGGAATTGCTCGAACATTGGACAGGCCTACGAGCACGGTGCTGAAAATTGTACAAAACATATTGCAATGCTATCCGTACAAAATTGGCCATGTGCAGGAGTTGCTTCCGTCTGACCTGACGGCTAGGGAGACGTTTGCGTTAGAATTCCTGGCTCGCATGGAAGTGGATAATAAATGGCCATGGAAAATTTTGTGGACAGATGAAGCCCATTTCCATCTGACAGGATACGTGAATACCCAGAATTGTCGAATATGGGCAACAGAAAATCCACTGGCAACGCATCCCGTACCACTTCATCCTGAAAAGGTCACGGTATGGTGTGGCTTTACGCCATCATTCATCCTACAACCATATTTTTTCGATCAGACGGGTGCTTCCGGTCCTGTTACCGCAACCGTCACTGGTCAGAGGTATGCGTCTCTTTTGCACAACCACGTGATTCCAGCTCTGCAGCAGCGTGGATGTGTGGATGAAATCATTTTTATGCAAGATGGCGCTCTTCCGCACATTGCACATCCCGTGAAGCAGCTGCTGAGGCGCCATTTCGGAAATGCTCGAATTATCGGCCGTCATTTCCCTACAGCCTGGCCGTCCCGATCGCCTGATCTTACTCCGTGTGATTTCTGGCTGTGGGAATATCTGAAGGATGTTGTGTTCCGTGCTCCAACTGAAAATTTAGCGGAATTAAAGGCACGCATTTCGCAACACATTCTGAACATCACCCCGGAACACTGTGATCCGTTGTGGAACATGCTGTTTGTCGCTTTCAACTTGTTGCACACAACGGTGGACACCATATTGAACATGTTTTGCACCAGTCTCGCGACAGTTCCAAACTTCTTTGATGAATGGTTCTCATGCGGTATGTCGCTGCAAAACTCTTGAAACCGATTTGTCCCTTTTGATGTAATATGTACAGTCATGCAAATAAAATTATTCAGCAATTCTAATTTGTCAATGCGTTTTAATGTGTAACTTTCACCTTAGCCGTTGTTTTACGAATCATTTCTCGTTTCTCGTCGTGATTTTGCCGCTTACAGCGCCATCTGTTGCTAACTTTTGAAACTAAATTTTTTCTTCTGCCATAGGCTTTCCGCCTTCTTCAATAACATTCCTTTCAAATTTCCCATCATTTTCATCAGTGGTTCTTTTTTTATAGCGTTTTGAAACTTAAACTTTAATTATAATCACCCTGTATTATAAAAATTTTATTTGAGATTGTATATTGTTGTACAAATAATCTTATTTACGACAAAGATGTCATTTGTTATAATTAGTATTATTGGATATGAAAAAGTGTTCCATGTTTCCTAAGTTAGGAGTGTGTTTTTTTAATTAACTAAAATTATGTATTATTATATTTTTGTTGTAACAAGTTGTTTCATTAATAAAGTTTTTAATTTGTTGGCGAGGTTAATGGATCTTCCGGCCAGTAACGGGTACAGTATGGTGGTTGAATTTAAATTCAATCAGTAGTTTCAATAAGCCCTGCATATACCGCAAAGGTTCGCAGGATAAAATACCTGTCTTACAGTCAGAAAATAACAACAAAAATTCTCTTGCTGTAGTGACTTATCTCATTTGTCTGACAGTAACATCAGGACAAGCCTACGAAATTCATCTTGGCAATAATAGCAAGACTGCGCATGTGTTCAGCACCGTACAAGTGACAGTACGACTTTGCTCAGTTCCGCCCCAATTTTGAACAAGAGCACCCCCGGGGGGGGGGAAGGACGGAGCCCAGGGCCCAGGATTTCCCACCTCTCTTCCCCTACCATCAACCTCTCGAGAGTACTTTCGGCTGACCACATATTTAGAGTGTACCCATACCGCACTGATACTCTACATTTACAAACATCCATTTCTTCTTCGGGATTCGAACTCGGGCCCTTCGGTACAGCACTCCTCGTTGCTAACTACTATTCCGGCTGGGAGGTATAAAAATTCATCTGAAGAAACACATCTGGCTGGCAGTCAGAAAGGTCCGCAGTTTGAGTACCATCCGTGATTATACAGTGACGACTGAACTAAAAGATTGGTAGGCGATAATTCAACCCCGGCAAAATTTGGAGATCTTGTCTTCCCAATCATCGTGGGAAAACATGTAAGGTATTTTCACCCTCCTTGTCGAGTGCATTCGTAGTGTAATTGGTAAGCACCTCCGACTAAAAATAGGAAGCCTGGAGTGCCAGTCCCACTGAAGTTATTCTACGTTTTTCATGTCCCCTTGTCTGAAATAAGCCTAAGGGCTCTATGACATCTTCAAATAGAGAATATTTGGAATTCCTCCTGATTTTTAAAGTATTTTTAAGTTTTTGGTTATTATCTCAAAAGAGCTATTAACTCGAAACACGCCTTTGTGTTTATTCACTTTAAAAATCGCCATTGTAAATGCGGTTTCACTTTTCATTCGAGTAGGTAGCCATTTGGCACAATGTAATACATTTGTAGCTCAGGTTTAATCTGTATGTAGTAGATTAATAAACTAACCTATTTAAAAATAATAAATATAGATCTTAAGAATAGCATTTTTTTTTTTTTTTTCTTTTTAATCTGATCGATTTAAACAAAAATGCATTTAATTGATGATATATCTAATTAAAAGCATTCAATATTTTTTACAAAATTACATCATATATTTTTTCCCTTTTCAAATATACAGAAGATATATAACGTTCCCATGCTAGTCTAAATGTACTACATTAATATAGTTGATACTACATTAATATAAATACCCTATAAGATGTTTCGCTATTTCAGTTGGACCATCTCTATTGATAATCTCTATTGAAAAACCATATTAAACTTTAAAACAGCCGTTTTGAGCTACCGTTAAAATCTGAACCCCTTCAAATTTCTTTTTCATTTATTTATTTTCTTTTTGAAATTAGCTTTTCTTTTACATTATTATTTATATATGCCTATAACAGTTCTTGTTATAGCTAAATTTCAGCGTAAAGTCTGAAAGCAAAGTATTATTGTTTCATAACATAATGGTCACTTTTTTCATTATTTATAATATAAGGTATTTCTACCGCCTTTTTAGCGTGCCCTCGTGGTGTAGTGGTTAGCACACTCGGGCGCGTATTCGAGAGGTCCGTGGTTCGAGTCCCGGAGAGGGAGTTGCTCATTTTTCATTGCTA